TTTTCACTGTTGCACTTATGTGTCACTCCTCAGATCCTGGCAGATGCAGTCTCTCATCTAGTTATTGATAAGTTCAGCAAACTGACGGATAACTTCAGGGCTCCACATGCTCAACGGAAAGTCTTGGCAGGTGTTGTCATGACAGCAGGTATTCTTGTAGCCCAGGTCATCTCCTAATTAGAAGGTTGCTAGTCTGATCCCAGCTGCTCCGAGAGTTTAAATGTGTACATAAGGCTCATGCCACCAACCCCCAACCAAATATGCAGGAGATCTATAGTGAGGTACGCGTACTTGTTCAACTCAATTCAAATGACTTTTATTTATACAGCACCAAATCACAACAACAGTCGCCTCAAGGTGCTTTATACTGTAAGGTAGACCCTACAATACATACAGAGAAAAACCCAACAATCATATGACCCCCTTTGAGCAAGCACTTTGGTGACAGTGGGAAGGAAAATGCAGAGAGGCCTATTAACACATAGTGACTGAAGAAGAAACTCCCAGTGCATCATGGGAATCCCCAGCAGCCTACACCTATTGCAGCATAACTAAGGGAGGATTCAGGGTCACCTGGTCCAGCCCTAACTATATGCTTTAGCAAAAAGGAAAGTTTGAAGCCTAATCTTGAAAGTAGAGATAGTGTCTGTCTCCTGAATCCAAACTGGAAGCTGGTTCCACAGAAGAGGGGCCTGAAAACTGAAGGCTCTGCCTCCCATTCTACTTTTAAATACTCTAGGAACAACAAGTAGGCCTGCAGAGCGAGAGCGAAGTGCTCTAATAGGGTGATATGGTACTACAAGGTCATTAAGATAAGATGGGGCCTGATTATTTAAGACCTTGTATGTGAGGAGCAGGATTTTGAATTTATGTTTAAGTTGTTTGTTGCTGGTTTTTAGTTTGTTTTTTGTCTGTTTGGGAGCTGACACAGTCTCTATGGAGATGGGTTTTTGGGGGGGTAGCAGGAGGAGAGAAGCTGCAGAGAGGCGTGTAAGACTGCAACTCTGCTTCCTGGTCCCAACTCTGGATAGTCATATTTTGGGGGGTTTAATAAAGTTTGTGGGATGGATCCAAGGTGGGATGGATGCATCTCTCTTTATAATCTGTTTATTCACAAGTCAAATATTGAAGTATTAGTTTGAATGAAAGCCTTACTAGTACTACATGTAAAGCTGGCTTAATTCAGAAAGATCAATCTTACTATAACTACAGCTTAGAATCAAATATGTAAATTAGGCAAATTCAATTACTGATAAACTTTTACACTTCTTACAAAGACCAGACTATTGGGATACTTAATATTCTGTTTCTTCTGGGCTGCACTGTAACTGCACATGTGAGCATATTTTCTATACATGACAGCAGGCACACAAAGGGACACAGGTACCAATAGGGGGAGGCATTGAGAGGAGGTATGAAAATAATACATTAGCTAAGGTAACCCTTACTCCTAGCATGTCAACATCTGGTGGCCTGGCATTGATCTTAATGCATCTAAATCACAGTATCAGCTGAACCATTAGTTCAAGGGCAAAGTGGCCGTCGGTTGGAGGTCAAGCAACTGCTGTTAATCAAATCAACCAATTTGAACTCAGGAACTTCTTTAAACCAGCTGGGGCAGGGATAGCTCAGTAGGTAGAGTGGTCGGCCCATGATCAGAAAGGGGTCGGGGGTTTGAATCCACTGAGCGGTTACCCTGAGGTTCCATCTCTACGCACAGCTCCCCAGGTGCTGGATTGGTAGCTGCCCACTAAGTGAATGGGTTAAATGCAGTGGACTAGAAATTCCCCCGTGTGGGACTATATGGAATTAAACATTTAAAAATTAATCAGCAGTCTCTGTCAGTCTCAACAGTGAGAAGACACGAGTGAAACCAAACATGGTGCATGATCATGCTTCATAACAAGGTAATGTTTGATGGTCTATATCTGCTTTACAGCTTATGCACATGGGCTACACAACTTGATAATCTTGTGAGTAAAATGGGTAGAGCTCTGTCAGCGGTGGGAAAAGTTCCAAAATAAATGACACCAAATATTTTGAATACATTAGGTTAGTCACAGCTTGATTATTGTGTGGAGGTGTTTCAACTAAAGTAATTAAAAGTTCCAAGTTTAAATCATGCTGCTCATTGTGCATTGCAGTGCTCTTCAAGAACCAGTGCAAATCCGATTTATCATAACTTGGGCCGGCTAATTGTTCGAGGTCATGTCATGATCAGAAATGTACTAGTGAAGAGATTATGGACGATGTTACATCAAAATTGAGTAAAGGTTATAAATAGAAAACACTAATCTACCAAGTTGATAAGTTTCAGTTCAGTGAAAGCACTACTTCACAACAAAAGATGGCTCATGTGAGCAAGCATGAGTGGGAAGGAAAATCTATCTTTTAAGAGGAAGAAACATCTGGTAGAACCATGTTCATGGAGGGACAGTCATCCATCATGTTTGAGGTGAGAGTAAAGAGAAGACAGCAGAGAGAGAGAGACTGGAAATATGGTAAACTAAAGGATTGTTAATGATTAAATACATTAGTGATATATAAACACGCACCAAACAAAGGTGAGTGACGAATTTAGTCCATCATTGGAAGTCAAAGTCAAAGTCAACTTTATTTGTCAATTCTGCCACATGTACAGGACATACAGAGAATAGAAATTTCGTTACAGTTCAGTGTAACTTGTTCTGCAGCAATGAGGTTGATCAAGCCTTGAAAGCTGCTGCTACAAATTCCCACAGCTGTTCCAACTTTTCTGGATTACTTCCCCCTCTGTCTGCATAAAAGCAGTGCTGGGACACACTGATGTACCCTCGTGAGCATCAGCTGAACACTATTGTACTGCAGAAAGTAATTTGTTGCTACAAACATGGTGAGAAAGAGGCAATTAACAGTGGAAGAGACACAGACCATCATAACACTTATAAATGTCGGTCTGTCCTACAGAGAAACTGCAAAGAAAGTCAAGGTGTCAGTGAGTCCAGTTTCCTTCAGCATCAAAGGCTCAGAAACTGTGACAGCAGGAGGTCTGCAGACCCAAAGACACGACTGACTCAGAGGACGAGTTTCTGAGAGTTAACAGCTGTGTGACGGCGGCTCACAGGACAACAGCTTCAAGCAGCTTCATAGTGGTCGTAGTGAGAAAGTCTCAGTTTCAGCTGTGAAGAGAAAACTTCAAGCTGCAGGTTTGACAGGAGAGTTGCAGCAAGAAAGCCCTATCTGTCCCACAGGATCTTAGCTCGTTCATTCTCCACCTCCTTTGGCGGTATAGGAGCCATATGAGTTGCTCCTTTTTTGATTAAGTGCGTTGGTTTAAATGGACTCACTGTATTGGTGCCTGCTGAGTATGGATATGCTAAAGCTAAATCTTTGCTCCAGGAGAACTTTGGCAATTCGCTGAAAATTGCTGCTGCCTACATTGAAAGGGTCAGTAAATGGCCACCTATAAAATCTGATGATGTGAAGGCTTTGCAGGAATATGGGTTTTTATTAAGGCAATGTTGTAATGCAATGGGAGACGTTGAGTCCTTGCATGAGTTGGATGTCTCTGCTAATATGCAAGCAGTTATAAAAAAGTTGCCTTATAAGCTCAGGGATAAATGGAGGAATGTTGTGTGCAATCTGCAGGAGAGGTTTCAACGTAAAGTGGTTTTTAGCGATGTTGTTGAGTTTGTCGAAAGGCAAGTGAAGATCGCAAGTGACCCATTGTTTGGAGACATAAAGGATCCTCCAACAGACATCAGAAAAGAGGCGAGGAATGGTAAGTCTCAGTTTTACCCTACGGCTAAGAGGAGTAGTTTTGCTACTACGGTGGCCAAGGTGGAAGGGAAGATTGAGCCAGCGTTGAGGCGTTTGAGTGGTTCAGTTGTGACCAAGGCTTGCTTGTTTTGTGGAGCAGGGCATATGTTGGATTTGTGTCCTTCATTTGAAAGAAAGTTGCACTGTGAAAGATTATCTTTTTTGAAAGAGAATGGTGTGTTTTGGTTGTCTGCGCATTGGGCACAGAAGCAGAGACTGCAGGAAACGTCTCATGTGTAAAGTCTGTAATCAGAAACACCCCACACTCTTACATATCCACTCCAAGCAGAGGGAAAGCGTTTCAATGCAAACTATAGGAGGGAGAGAACCACCAGATGAAGGTCCTTCGTGTGCTGTGCAAAGCAGTGGTGTTACTGGGGCTGGTGAGCAAAATAGTGCTCTGTCCATGATACCAGTTAGAGTGAAGTCCAAGAAAGGTAATCAGTCACTGATAACCTATGCTTTTCTAGATCCTTGGAGCTCCGCTTCATTTTGTACTGATGGGCTCATGAATAGGCTGAATCTTTCAGGAAGGAAAACTGGCATTCTGTTGCGGACAATGGGTCAGGAGAAAATGGTCAGTAGTTATGTGGTTCCAGATCAGCTGGTTTGTGCTGCCAGACGCTTGTGGAGTCCAGGCAGCTCCTTCAGCCGGCATGAATCATGTCAGGGCCTGATGCTGTCCAACTCTTCATACTGCTTGTTTATACTGGTCTCCTATAAACAAGCATTTGGTGACAGTAGGAAGGTAAAACAGCTTTTAACAGGAAGTAACCTCTGGTGGAACAAGGCTCAGGTATGGGGAGCCATATGCAGCAATTGGCTGGGGTAAGAGGAGGGAGACAGGGCCATGTTTGGACAGGTATCCTTATTATGCAGATTGGAAGATAAGATATGTGGAAAGATAAAAGAAACAGGGAGATTTTCAGTTGAAGCCACATAAACAGGCACGTGGTAGCCTGGTTACTCTGAGAGTGGTTTCTCAGCAGGACATCTTTCCTTGAAGAAAAACTGTTCCAGACACTATTCATTTTAAATTTTCTGGATAATAAAATATGCTGAAGTTGAAGCGGTCAAATTGACAAGATGTTAGGGACCTTATGAACCAGTGCAATGTTTTACCCATCCAGGTGCAGATGTGAAGGAGGCTCAGGTCATCTGCGTATCCACAGGGACAAAGTGCATCGGTCGTGAATACATGAGTAACCGAGGTTTGGCCCTCAATGACTGCCATGCAGAGATTGTAGCTCGTCGGTCTCTCATTAGGTTCCTGTACTCCCAGCTGGAGTACTTCCTCAGGTAAAAGCCTCCCACCTACTTTCAAAGTGCTCCCTACAAACACTGTACATAGAACTGAGTCTACCAAACCAGTCTTTACCCTTACTTACTGAATCAAAAGAACTAAATACAGTTGGTCTGTTGACTGTTTCTACAGTGGTGTGAAAAAGTGTTTGGGCCCTTGCTGATTTCCTATTTACTGTATGTTTGTCATACCTAAATGTTTCAGATCATTAAACAAAAATATAAATATTAGACAAAGATAACACAAGTAAACGTGTCTATTATTAAGGAGGAAAAAATCCAAACCTACATGGCCATGTGTGGAAAAAGTGATTGGCGATGGCCCCGAAACCAAATAGCTCTTTGGGCCACCCTTAGCAGCAACAACTGCAGTCAAGCATTTGCAATAACTAGCAATAACTCTTTTACAGCACTGCAGAGGAATTTTGGCCCACTTTCCATAATTGCTGTATTTCAGCCACATCCGAGGGTTTTCGACTATTAACCACCTGTTTAAGGTCATGCCACAGCATCTCAACCGGTTTCAGGTCAAAACTTTGTTTTGACCTTGTTTACTAGTGTTATCTCTTTCTAATGTTTATATTTGTTTGATCATCTGAAACATTTAAGTGTAATAGAAATGGAAAAAATATTAAATCAGGAAGGAGGCAAACACTTTTTCACACCCCTCTAGTGTTTTAACAAATGAGCAATTACTGTCAACCAGCCGTTCTGAACATTTCAGAAAGCACTGCTAGCCTACCAGTCTTTTGTCTGCATTTCTGTTTTAGTAACAGTGAAGAAGAACATCAGAAATCCATTTTTATGCGGTGCGATAACAGTCAAGGCTTCAGAGTAAAGGAAAATGTCCAATTCCACCTGTATATCAGCACCTCCCCCTGTGGAGATGCTCGCATCTTTTCACCTCATGAAGGCGGAGTGGACGGTAAGTGGATTATTATGATTGTTACAAATAGAGATTCATAGTGATGAAACAATATTTGTTGTTTGCCTGAAAATATGTAGGTTACTGTTATGTCGTCAGTGATTTTTTACCTGTGTCAGATCAGGGAGATGGACATCCCAACAGAAAGGCCCGTGGGCAGCTGCGCACTAAAATTGAGTCTGGTGAGGGAACCATACCTGTGCACTCCAGTAACACCATCAAGACATGGGACGGTGTTCTTCACGGAGAAAGGCTGCTTACCATGTCTTGCAGCGACAAGATTGCAAGGTGTCTGTTTTGTTTGTTACATGCTCACATGGTGATTAGCAACATCACATGTTGTCCTTTCCTGGGGGCCTTTATGGCCAGGTATAAGGGCGTAAAAGCTCTTATACCTGGGCCCTTTATATAATCTTTGTAAAGTATGAAAGTACGGATAACAATCTAAGGAGCTTGGAAACAAAAGCGTCTGGACTTAAGTTTTCTTGAAGACGTTTCATCTGAGAAGTTCTTAAATTCTAAGAAAAATTGGTGGAGAGTACCAGATTTTAAGCCCTATGGGAGTGTCCCCCCAAGAAGGTCATGGACCCCCTTATGATCGACTACCTAATCACACGAGGCAAGGTGTGAAAATCGACGTGGGTCACAATCAGCTAAGGTTTCGGGTGGACCTACTGTGAAACCTGGCCCCACCCTATCATGTGATTTCCTGAGGTCAGATGGCCCAGGGTGTGAGTGGGAGTTAAAGCATCTGGGAAGGATCTCAAAACTGGATTATAGATGACAGATAGTTGGTGTCGTAAGCCCCGCCCTCTGTTCAAAGATGATTGTTCACAGTGGACATAGATGCTTCGTTCTAGAACTGAAGAAGCTTCTCGGATGAGAGGTGAAACATCTTCAAGCAACTGAAAGAAGTCCAGACGCTTTTCTTTCCAAGCTCCTTAGACTACCATGACCTGGATGACCGAGAAGCTTCACAGATATACAGATAACATTAAAATTATACCCTCCCCACCCCCTCATATAAATTTGAGAGTTTTGTCAAAAATTTCTGAAGTTCATTTTTAGCTGAGCAAGGGATTTTCAACATAGCATTTATAAACATACTAACCCTTTTTACCTTCTTCAATATGATATGTTCCCTAATTACTAACTTTCTAAGGTGGCCGTTGTGGCTGGAGAGAAAATTATACAAGGCACTGCTGAGAAGCTGGGCCGATACAATATGTAATAACCAAGTACATCCATGAGCCTTGGTTTTATTTAATGTTTTATTAAATAAATAATAGTACTCTGGGAATACTATGAACAAGCATCTTGTGCTTCCCCTCTCCTCTCCCCACTCCCCCTCTCCTCTCCTCTTTCTGGGTCACAAAATACACTTTTAAGATATTTTGAGGCGTGAATGTAGTTGTGTAAACGTCAGATACCTGCTCGGTTTACAAGACATCACATATTTGCAAAAGAGCTCCGAGGTTTTTGGAGATCTGACACCCACTAGCTCGAAGCTAACGGGAGGTCGAGACCTACTACAGCCGGGAGGAACACCGCTTTCCCGGCACATCGTGCCTCGACCTCCCGGTCGGCTTCGAGCTGGCGGCCTCCGAAGAATGCGGCTAAAACTTTTGCGAGATCTCGCAATACTTTTGCGAGCGCTCGCAATACTTTTGCGAGATCTCGCAATACTTTTGCGAGACTCGCAAAAGTCCGTCTTATTTTTTTTTTCCTCCCTAATTTTTTTTTTCCTCCCTAATTTTTTTTTCTCCCATGTCCCCTGGGGGGCTCCGTAGAATGTGAAGTTGTTTTCTCCAGTTAATATCACAGTACAAAGCTTTGTGATGAATAAAAGAATTACTGATGACCTAACAGTTTATACTGGAGAACTGTAGCAGTTTTAATCACTTCAAACTGGGTAGAGGAGGCACCAGTAGGAAGTATTTGTGCTTCCTACTGGAAGTACAAATATTTGATTTACTGTTTTTTTTTAATCAATTTTAAATCATGCTTTTTATTGTTTTTGTTTTTTAATGTCTCTGTAAAGCACTTTGAATCAGCTTGTTGTTGAATTGTGCTCTATAAATAAACTTGCCTTGCCTTACTCAGACTCTAGTAGCGCACCATTGAGCATATGTGATATGTGTTTGGATTCTAGACACAATATTGTTTTTTGATATAATTCATTTGATCTGGGCGATCGTGGCTCAAGAGTTGGGAGTTTGCCTTGTAATCGGAAGGTTGCCGGTTCGAGCCCTGGCTTGGACAGTCTCGGTCGTTGTGTCCTTGGGCAGGACACTTCACCCGTTGCCTACTGGTGTTGGCCAGAGGGCCAGATGGCGCGATTCGGCAGCCTGGCTCTGTCAGTGCGCCCCAGGGGCTGTGGCTACACCGAGCTTGCCATCCACCAGTGTGTGAATGTGTGGAGTGAATATAGTGGCAATTGTATAGCGCTTTGGGGTGCCTTGCAAGAAAGCGCTATACAGACCATTTACCATTTAATCTATAGAGTCAAACATACGGGAATCGAAATACATTTTCCGTGTCGGTTTAGATGAAAATGAACAGGCTGATAAGTTTGCAAAAGCTGCAACAAGAAAAAGTCATGTAGATATGAATATAATATACAGTAAAGGTGAGGTTAAAGGAACAGAGCAGGGAAAGGTAGATATCATTATAGTAGACAGAGAGCAGTGGGACACTGTAGAAGAAGTCATAGAAGTAAAAGAAGATATCATTTCAAGAGTAAGATTTGGTCACATAGGTTTAAATAACACTAAAAAAGATGAACAAGAATGAGACAGGGAATTGTGAACGTTGTGGACCACAGGAAACATTTGAACATGTGATGTTGGAATATGGTAAACATAGACGGGAAAGGCAAATGCTCAAATCTGAATTGAAGAAGAATAGAGTTCAATTAAGGGTAAAAGAAATATTTCAAAGGGACACAGGTGGTGTAGTTTATAGGGAAATATTTGATTTTTTTTGTTTGTTTTTAATATTTTTATTAGGATTTTCTTCATAGTAACAGACAAAGACAAAAGAAAACCAGAACTTAGCTCAGGCTGTTTTGAGGCACATACAAGGCAGTTGAGGTAAACCACAACCCCTCCAGGAATCAAAACAAATCACAGTAAGACCAACAGTCAGGCAAATTAATTCAGTTTGGGAAAGCCCTGCAACAAGGAGGATGCCAGTACAGGTCCAACGTAGATATGGGTCCCAGGCCTGTGGAAAGAGTCCAAGGTGGAGTTGAGCATACAAGTTATATATTCATTGGGAATACAGTCCGTACAATGTTATGCCAGGATTTCTTAGTTGGGATGGCTAGCCTGCCCCAGAGGAGCAGGATATTGTTTCTGGATGAAAAATAACTACTGGAACAGCCTCTTGTGTTTGCCTTAGAAAACCAGATTGTCCATTACTTCCCAGTGTAAGACACAGAGGGACCACAGGAACAACAGAGTTGAAAATAGTCACCCCTTCTCCATTATAACTACATAAAGGGGAGGAGTTTACATCTATTTACTTTTTAAAGAGGGTGTGATGTATACACCGATGAACAATTTTTAACTGAAGATTTAGCCTGGTTACAGACAGATATCTTAGAGGCACGCCCAAATCTCCTGCCAGTCTGGATCATTATTAGAGCAGCCTAGGCTCTTTCCCAAGGCCTGTTTAGCAGCCAGGAAGTGAGGGGCTGAGCGAGTTAAAGACCTTTAAAAGGAACTAATGGAAATATTTGGGTTTTTAAAGAGCAATAAGTATTTATATGAGACCATAGGTGTAAAACTGTTCCGATCCACACTCCAGCCCAGAAGGTGGCGGTAAAAGTTTGACAAGGTAGACGAAGAAGAAGAAGAAGAAGAAGAAGAAGAAGAAGAAGAAGAAGAAGAAGAGAGGGGGGGGATACCTACCTTGGCACGACACCTGTCGGATAGTTTGCTTGTTACACTTGTTTGAAAAAAAAAAACCCTGTCGGATAGTTTTTTTGTGTAAGCTGATTGGTGAACAAGTCGAATAACTACTTCCTATTGGTTTACTATAGTGACATCATCGCGCACTTATTTGAATGACGGAAGGAGCATATTTTCTGCATGAGATGTCTAAAAATTAGCCAAGTGTACATCAACAGCTGGTAACTTATACTAAATTAACCAGCCTTTGTTCACTACGTTTGCTAAGCTAACGTTCAGGGCCAACGCTAACTTGTTAGCTACTAGTGCTGCTAACACAGTCTGTGCCTGTTTGCTCGATTACAATTATATTTTTAAGTGGACGTTTATTTATCGACTTTCTATCGACAGGAAATACTTACAGTAAGGACTTAATTTAACCACTGTAGGAAGTCTAA